ACTTTTTAGTCTCTTGTCACAGCCTTGATGACTAGATATTATTGTTCTGCTGGGGAGAGAATGGGAGCCTAATCTTCCAGGCACAGGGTTACTGCACTTATTTAAAAAAAAAAAAAAAAAATCCCAGATAGGACACGATTGTTGCTTAGAAGTTAGCTTGGCACCTTGAGCTTTCTGGAAAGAAGTGTCTTAGAAATAAAAATAAAGTGTATCTGGGATTTAAATTCTGGGGTCTCCACTGGTAACAATTACAAATAATGCCTTTCATTTCATGCAGTGCTTCATGGTTTTCAAACGTCATTTCGGTCCACACAACCACCTGGTGAGATGAGAGGTGGTTTTCACCCCATTTTGCCAAAGTAGAAACTGTGGCCCAGAGAACTGATGGGACTTGTGGAGGAGTCAGTAAACTGCAGAGCCTGGATGAGATCCAGTTATTCTGGGCTCTTGTTCTTTCTGCCACCCCAGGATCCCCTTGGTTTGGGGGTTGGTCTTGGGGATGAGAAGAGCAAAAGCCTTCTTTGATACCTTGGGACTTGCCATGGGATAATCTCTCAGCACCAAAGTCCAGGTTTTGGAGTCCAGCTTCTGTCTCAAGCAAGCCATTATTCTCTCTGAGCCTCAGTTTCCTCATCTATAAAATGGACATGGTAAAACTGACTTTGCATCTGTATTACTCTGTTTCTGTTGCTTTATAACAGAATTCCTGAAACTGGGTAATTTATAGAGAAACAAAAAATTTATTCTGGGAAGTCTATGGTCCATGGGGAGTACATCTGGTGAGGGCCCTCTTCTTGGTGGTGACTCTCTACAGCAATGCAGGTAATCACATGGCAAGAACCACAAGAGCAGGCAAGCTAACCCTCTCACTTGCTCTCCTTATAAAGCCATGATAACTCATTACTACATGAAAGGATTAATCCATTCACAAGAGCACAGTCCTCACAATCCAATTACCTCTCTCAAAGGCCCCACCTTTCAGATACCATAATTGGATTTCCCACCCTCTTAACACTGTTACAATGTTGAAACAGCTTCAGTTTCAAGTTTCTAATACGTGAACTTTGGGAGAACACAATTAACTCGTAGCAGCAGGGTTAAGTGAGACGATGCAGGCAAAATGCCTGGCACACAGTGGATGCTCAACAAGCATAGCCCAGTCCCTCTGATTGCTTGACCTTGTGTGCCTGTCCCTAAGGGTTGGTGATAACTTGGCTTGGTGGTCTACCTAGGGTGACATATAGGATAGGGGAAAGGTCTTGTTGTGATCCCACTTTAATCTCCTTCAGTTCACGCCATTGATTGAGAGGCAGCTGAGGATCCCATTAACCTAACTCACCCAAATTCAGACCAAACAAAAAAAATTCTGTATTTATAACTTTCCTTTCTTACTACATCTGTCAGCGTTATGTGCATTTGGTCGTGGACATGCAGAAAGCAGAAGCAGCTCCTTTTATGGATGGGGAAATAGAGAAAGTAACTTCCTACCCGGTCTCACCTGACACATCCTTGACAAAGTTCAGAGTAGAATCAAGTCAATGTCCAACTGGGACTCTCCAGACTGATTTTGTCTAGTCCTAACTTCTCTTGTTCATCTCAGATGGGAGGCAGTTGTGTTTAAACTCTAGCTCACTGTTTTCAACTTCAGCCCACACCCCTCCAGTGGAATAATCAGCATTCATGTTGCCCAAGGCAAAGAAAGGAGGTCTGTTCAAATCATCCTACTGTACTTTGGGAATCCAGATAGCATGAAAACCTGGCAAACAGGCTTTTAAGTTAATAGATTTTATTTAATGACACCAAGAGTCTGCGTGCGCAGGTTTTGTGGTCTCCTCTCCTGGAGAGCCGTATGACTCATTGTGCCTGAGGGCGTGCTAGTGGGATCCGAATGCCTTTCACAGTTGTTTACGGCTCTTCTCTGGGGAGGGGGGACAGTTCTTGGGTGAGGTTTATCTGAGGAGTTGAGGACAAATCAGTGTTTTCCCAGCTAGGCTTTTAAGTGGGAAGCATGCCTGTAAGAGATAACTGGCTGAAGCAAGTGTACCGGAATGCTTATGTCCAAGCGAGTGATGTCCCTTTCAGTGTTGTCTCTTTAGGAGGCTACACACATGCACCACTGATGTTCCCATTGCTCAAACCATTGGGGAAACCACCTCTAGAAGTTTCTATCAGAGACAGTTTTTCAGCCAAAGCGAGAAAATTGTTTTTGAAACTTTTTTTATATCCCCGTTTTCAGATACCAAATGGTGTCCCCAAGTATGACCACTTTTTTTTTTTTTTTGCTGGTTCTAATTTTGGATAAATTTTAGTTATTTCCAAAAGTTATACTCACCCGTGGAGGATCTGAGAGCTCATGACCCATGTTGAGATTCAGAGGAACATCCTCTGAAGGCAGATCTTGTTGTTTGGACGAGGGGGTAGCCTTGTGTGCCTTGTTCTTTCAAAGAGTCAGGTTGGGGACTCCCAGTTAATACTTGAGTCTGTTGCTTGAGTTGGGAGCTGCCCCTGCCCACGCTTTGGCAAAGACATGCTCTCTGTTTGTAGAGATAACACAGTCCCCTCTCTGGGGAAGATTTAGTTTGGATTTTAGTCACATCTCCTAACAAGCTTTCTCTGGCTGTGGCCAAGCAGTGTAGTACAAGAGGAATGGAACTGTCTTTGTGTGTTTCTTCCTCTTCCTCTTTACCCCTACCCACCATTGTCCCTCACTAATGTCCAGTGTCAGGGCCACAACCAGTCTTTCTCTAGCCAAAATCTGTTCACAGTCAGCTCACTAGGTGGTAGTTGTGCCCTCTTTCCTCACACACCCAAGGCTGCAGGGCATTCATCTTTCTTCCCATACTATTGGCTGGGAGGAGCTCCCCAGCCAGCTAGCATCCCGGAAGCTAGTATGGGGAAGGGACATGGGATTAGGATGTGTATGTGTGTGTGTGTGTGTGTGGGGGGGGGTATTAAAGTTAGAGCTCAAGATTGTAAGGTGCAGAAATGGCAAAGAGGGCCGTTTGTCCTGAATTTCTTGGCCGTTCACAAATCCAGATGGTCTTTTCTTTGTCCTACAGAGGAGGAATGGGGTATCCAGTTGATGGAATGTGATGTAGTCATTTAAAGTGATGTGGATGAGTTTAAAGTAGTGGATACAATGTTTATATCCCAAAGTCTTTAAAAATCAAGATGCACAATCATGAACATAGTATGATCATTATGTAAAAACAGTGCCCTGCCAGCCCCCCACCACCCTCACAGACCCAAAACAGGCATTTAAAAAAGTATGGATATAAATATATCAAGTGTTAGAAATGGTTTTTCTCTGGGTAGCAGGTCTATGGGTGACTTTTTTTCTCTTCTTTCAGATTTTTTATATTCCTCATATTCTACAATCATTTATTGGTATCTTAAATGGGAGTAAATTAAACTTCATAAAATCCCAAACAAACCTTTTTTATTGTTGGACTCTGCATCCCGAATTTTAGCTTAGAGATACGGCCATAACTGAAGCAACCTGAGAACTGTTGTTCCTTGTCTAACACTAGAAATCTGGAGAGTCAGGCAAGACCAGGTTCCAGGAGGATTTTTTGGACATAGTTCTGCCTGGAGGCAGGGGTGGACAAGGCAGCCTCTCAGAGCCCCTTCCCACACCCATCAGTGATTATCTCTGCTGCACACAGTTTCTGCCAATGGTGAATGGGCTGAGAGTGGTGACATTCTCCCTCTGAGTGGGGAGCACTAACAAAAGTCTGGCTGGGATAGAGGCTGGGGGCGGGAAATCTGGAGTGAGTGCCTGAGCTGATAAGGAGCCACTGATCTTTCTGCAGTGGGACTTGCATCCCTTGGATAGCTCATGCCCACTACAGTGGTCCTGCTGCTGGCACTGCTCAGAGCTCAGCAGTCACGGCTACTTTAGCGGAGAACTTCCCTCACGGTGTAGGAGCTCGGGGCTCTGTCTTAGGGCACGGGGAGCATCACTTATCTTTTGAGCAGCAGTGGGCTTTGAAGGAAGCAGCATATCTCCGCAGTGGAAACTAGGATTTCCCCTGTTGCTCCTCTCGACAGCCTGGTGAAGGACATCAGAGTGCTTCTTCCACAGCTGCGTCCTGTCTGGATCCTCCAGCTCCTTTGCCTTAGGGCCCTAGCCTCCAAAGCAGGTTTTCTCCACTCTTCAGGCAAACAGCCTCAATTTACAGCAGTCTGCCTGGTCTCCAATAGTCTGGAACCTGTTGTCCTTCAGAGCAGTGGACAATATCCAGTCACAGAGTGCCGAGACCTTTGCTTCGAGGAAAGCTTACTGATCCTGGAGTTGGTAGGGTCTTGGAAGCAGACATCGAGGTGTTCAAGGATAGGTATTGAATTTGTGTGAAGGCATTTGTCACAGCTGTTTTGAAAGACTCTGGCAAATGCTGGGGCTCTGTGGAGGCAGGTGAGAAGAGCAATCTCCAGTGTTTTGTGAGTGTTGTACCAAGGTGTTCCCAGAGTGCTGGCACTCCCAGGGCCGCTTCTTGGTGGGAGGCATCATGTCTCTGGGATGCTGATGAGGAAGCACTGGGGATCCTTATAGGGGCATGAGGCTTGCTTCATTTCTTCCTGCTCTCCAGGCATGGCACAAGGGGTTAATATCTCCAATGGCTCTATTTTGGGGCAAATGGAGTGTTCCCAGAATAGGACTCTTTGTTGAGTAGTCTATTTTGGGAGACAAGCCCCACTGGAGTTTATGTAAGTGATTCACTGTGTATCTGGGGGTGTGGATGTGTGCGCAAGTGATTTCTTATTAGTAATTATGAGCGGCGGGAGCGCCACTGCGCTCCCAGCGCCGCAGTCTCCCGAGTGCGCCACAGGCTCGGCCCTCATTGCTCTTCTTTTGATCAAAGGGTGCTGCCGCTTGGAATAAGGCAGAGAGAGCCGACAGCCCTCCTAACATACAAGTGCTTTTTTGTGCCGCCCTAAGCCCCCTGCTGCTAAAGTTCAAGTCTGCTTTTTCCTAGATCATAAAGTCCAGCAATAAAGTCCACAGCTTTGGGAAGAGGGACCAGGCCATTCGGAGGAACCCCAACGTTCCAGTGGTGGTTAGGGGCTGGCTGCACAAGCAGGTGAGGAGATGAGTGACAGTGGTGGAGGAAACGGCTGTTGCCGATTGCTTTCCCTCCCCTGGCCCAGGAAGCTGGGAACATGCATGTGAACTTTCTGTTCCTCAGCTTAAGGCAAGTAGACTGTGCCTGCTGTGCTGAGGGATTTGCTGTTTGTTTCTATGCATGGACTGTCTGCTCAGTGGTTATAGTTTCTCTCCCAAAACCCAGTTGACCACTTTGGCCCTGGTGCTGTTGGCTGCCCTGGGACCCGGGCCATAGTGTGTGTGGGAGGGTGGGTTGGTCAATATGAATTCAGCCTGACTGCCAGTCCTCTGCCAGCACTTGCCTTCCTGATGTTAAAGAGTCTTTATTATCATTTGGCTGAAAACTTTCATTTTTTTCTCTCCCCCTCATCTAGCACACATATCTAGCTCCCTAGCACCTCAAATTCCAAATCAGCCAAAATCAGTTCATTATCTCCTCACCCCCTGCCCCTTTCTTTCTCCCAGCCTGCTTTTTCTGGATCTTAGTAAGGGTGCCACCATTCTCCCAGGACCTGAGGCTAGAAACCTCAGCACCATCACCAGCTCCTCCTCCCACGTCCATTTGGCCAGGAAGCCCTGTCACCTCTGTCTCCCCTGAAGCCAGCCTTTATCCCCGTCTCCACCCTCAATCTATCTGCCTCTGACCATGGCTGGGCAGTGAGCTCCCAGGGCCAGAGACCATGCCTCTTTTGTGCCCTTCCTGCTCTCCTTGTTATTTGTGCATGTATGCATTCATTCATTCCCCCAGTGCCTGCCATGTTTTAAGTGTTCTCAGAGCAGGCATAAAAGATGAGTACCATGTGCTGCTTGCCTTCGAGGATCTCATCATCTATCAAAGGAAACAGCACATTTCTCATGTGTTGCATTGTCACCCAGCCCATCTCTCATATCTCATGACATCCCCCAAAAACACAAATCAAACTCTAAGGTTAATGATGTTCATTTCAGTAAAGCCTTTTCTGGGAAGAGAGAGGAGGGTATTACATTGCACACTACACAGAAGAAATCCCTAAAAGTCCCTTGAAGTCTCTCTTCCCCAGTTCTGCTCCCAGGGGCAGCTCTAGTCTCTCCAGCCTCTTCTGTCCACTCCTCTGGCACCATCCTCTCCCACTCCCACTCTCTCACCTCTCAGCTCATTTCTCCTTCTCTTGTCTTACATCTTCTCCTTTCTTTTCTTACTTGAGTAGTTTAACTCTCTGACTTCTTCCATTTGCATCCAGGTCTCTGTTAAACAAAGGATGCTTCTTTGAAATTTGAGGGAAGGGGAAGGGATTATGAGTAATTCTTCTCCCCAACTCCCAACCCCTAGCCAGGCCCATTGGCTGTGCTGTAACAGAAATCTGTGTAGAGTGCTGTGGACACACAGCAGAGTGTAGCTGTGCTTGGGGAATCCAGAAAGGCTTCCCAGAGGAAGAGACATTTGAACCAGGTATGGAAGGATGGATGAGCGTTCTCCAAACAAAGCAAATATCATGTGTCAAGGCCTTAGAAATCATCTGATCAATTTGCAGGAGATAAAACTGATAAATAGATAAAACCATCAAGTTAAATTTGTTTTTAAGCATTTAGTAAGTGAAGGATGAACAATTTTCGTGTTATGTTCAGGTTTAGAAATTGTCAGATTTTTAAAAATTTAATTTAAGCCTGTCAAAAACTTCTGCAGAAGGAAGACAAATGTTAATAGCTATTTCTAAAACTACAAGCAGCTCTGGGGTTTTTCTAGGTTTGGGAAAAAACTGGCCCTAAAACATTGCTAGTTTCTTAACTTGGACATGCTTTTTGAATTTCACAGTTATTTTAAATGTTCTTAATAAATGTAAATACATTTCAGATGAGTGAAGACGGATTCTTGTTATGAGATAATTTGATAGCAAAGAGAATCCCAATCTCTTATATTGGGTGGAGGCAAAATCAGTTCCATATGATAGAGAACTGAGCTTAGTCAAATGAGAACTTTGCCTCAGTTAATTAGTGAACATAAACTCTTTTCAGTGCTATGTAAATTCAGCTTTTTAATCAGCATAAACGATGATATTTTATAGTATAGCCTTTAAATAAGAGAAACATCCAAGAACTTCCTTTTTGTTAAGAGCTATTTTTTTTTTAAATGGGACACCTGTATTTTTGAATTTACATTTTCTTTTCTATAAGAAGGTGACTTATATTAATTTTTTTCCAGGAGACCAAAAAAAACCTCCTACTGCCTAGAGATAAACCATCATTAAATCTAAATTTAAAGTCCTATTCAAAGAATAGCTATTCAATGAAACATTAATTTATTGAAAGCATGAATATAGGCAAGTCTCAGTTCTAGAACTAGGCTGTATGTGATTGGGGAGGGGAATGGTATGCTCAGATATTGCCCTGACTAGTTTTCTTTGCTTTGTAGGACAGTTCTGGGATGAGGCTGTGGAAACGGAGGTGGTTTGTACTTGCTGATTACTGCTTGTTTTATTATAAAGGTGAGCTGAGGCTCTGGCCACCAAGGGCTCTTTGTGCTGGAGGGGGTGGGGGTGAGGTGCAAATGCAGGTCTCAAATTCAGTGACTGAACCAGCGGCCTGATCTAATTAGTAGTTTCTTACCCTGCCAAATATCCACTTTTACATATGTGGATGGTTGGTGACTTTAGTTTTACCAGCCCTGGCAAAGGAAGTTCAATCAGTTGAGTTAAAATAAATAGAATCCAGTTTGTTTACTACTTAGCAACTCAAGATCCGCAGCTTCTCAGCTTCTGCCCCACTTGGGACATAGGTGTACCTTTGAGGCAATCTGGAGAGGTGGGTAAATCACTGTATTTTGTAACCTGTCATCTGGATTTTATCCCTTGTGATATTGGATGGGCAGCTGGTAAACTGAATTGGCCATCTGAGCTTTATGGAGCCTTAGTACATGAAGTTAGGGACTGTGCAATGTTGAGAAGGCAGTCTTAAAATATGAGAAAATGATAGACGGCTTACTTTTAAGACAAGACTAGACTGTGATTGGTGCTTTAAAAGACATCCAAAGTGATTTGGCAGTTTAAGAGAAACGAGAAGTCAATGTGTGGAGGCTTCTTAGAAGTGGCAGTATTTGGCTGTCCGGTTAGCTCAGTTGGTTAGAGCATGGTGTTATAACAGCAAGGTCAAGGGTTCAGATCCCTGTAGTTGTTGTCCGCCAAATAAATAAATAATAATAAGTTAAAAAAAAGTGATAGTATTTGAGTTGGGCATTTAAGGATGGCTAGAGTTTTGCCTTTGTTGGGGCAGATGGGCGTACAAGGAGGGGAAACAACTTGAGTGAAGTTGTAGAAGCAGAAGAAGGTAGAATGACAGACTTGAGTGGCTAGGTGAGTCTTGCATGGAGGATGTGCCAGGAGATAAGACTCAGGAGGGTGGATAAGGACCAAAATCAAAGGCCCATCACAGATAGGGAAATTTGGGCTTCATCTTGTATCCAGTGGAGAATCCCCAAGTGCCTCTGAGTAGGAGAGCAACAGGACCAACTCTGTCATTAGGAAGCAAGTTGCCTCTGCTAACAAAGACGGTTTGGGGGAAGGAAAGAATAGAAATGGAAGGTAGGATTTTCCACATGTGCTGTAACTTTGCCTAAGAGATTTTCTCCTTCTAGAATGTTCTTCTCCATCCTTGAAAACACTTAAAATATTGCCTTCTGAAGCCTTCTCAACTCCCCAGACTGTGTGCCACTCTCACATGTGTCCCCGCAGCCCTTGGCATACTGCTCTGTTTCAGGAGTGAGCAGGTTGAGTTGAGTGTGTTCACATGCCTGTCTCTGCCCTCTGGTAGAAGGCCCTCACCCTTCACCTGTGTAGTTCCATCATTAGCACCACAGTTCCCGGGGAGCACCTACATGATCAGTCAAGAGGAGATTGCTGTAGTTCTGGGAAGACAGAAGGGGCCCTGAACTAGGACAGTGGGATGAACCAGCCCAGGGAAGGTGCTCAGAAGGTTATTCTGATGTGTTTTTCTATCCAAAGACAGCCGAGAAGAAGTGGTCCTTGGGAGCATCCCTCTGCCCAGCTACGTGATCTCTCCTGTGGCCCCTGAGGATCGCATAAGTCGCAAGTACTCCTTTAAGGTACTGCTCCTTCTCTGGTGCAGCACCTCCATCTTAGGAAACTTTGTGTTCTCAAAAATGCCTTCATAAAAGCAGTTGCTCTTTTGAGGAGGGGGAAGAAGTTAAGACGCTAGAAAGTTGCAGACTCAAGTTAACAAAGTGTTATAAATTATTTAAACAAATTATTACATCACAGTACTTTGATTTGAATCTGAACTTTGGAGTCCCCCAACCTTGCTCAAGTGTTTAGACCTCTCATTTCCTATCACTCCTAGTCTTGCAATTACACGTCTAACACAGCCTTCCTGTGCTTCCTTATCAGCATAATCAGCCAATCTAACCAGTATGCAGCCACTGAGGACAATTGATGATCCCTCATAATGGATTTATATCAATTATATTATGAAAAATTACATTGAGGGTTAGGGGCCTGCATGTTGAAGAGATTGTCAGGTTTGTCCACTTGTTAATGTTGTTGAAAAACACTTAGAATCAAATTTGGTTTATTTTATGGCTTATTGAAGATTCCCGGGCAGATCCTTTCACCAGCAAATCCTTTTCCTACTTCCTTTGTTGCTGTGCCATGTGGAGTGAGTGGGCCCGTGATAATTGATGGCAGTCCTTTGATGCCTTCTGGCATCTGTGAAGCCAGGTGTGGTGCTCTAGGAAGGTGGTGGTTAGGCTCAAACTTGGAGAACACCTCAGGACTCCCCGTTTGTGGCCTCCACAGATTTCTTCACTGTAGGTATTTTTTGGGTCCCCCAGGAATGATGAGGGTGCAGTGGATTGAAGATCCACTTCACTGGCAGCTGGAGTGGAAGTCCCAGAGGGCACTGAAGCAAGTGGCCCTTGGTGCTAGTAGCCACAGAGCATAGACCTCTCATGGCTGCTCAGGATACGAGGCAAGGCCACACATTTCAAGGCGGGATAATGGGCTTCTGCCCCTATAATATTCATTGCTTGGCTGTTCCTGTATTAAGGGTACAAGATGAGTACTAGACAGTAGATGTTAAAGCAGAGATCGAGCAGAAGCCATCTTTTCCAGCCATAGATAGAACCATGGAAAAACACAAGGTAAGACCAACCAGCATTCTCTGGAAGGGTTATAGGAAAGTGCTGGTATATAGTGTCCATGTTGTTAGCAGTTGGTACTCAGTCTGTGAAAGGTTTTGCAAAGTGTGTCAGTGTCTTGATTTGGAGTCTGGCGGTTGAAAGTCAGTCTCACCTTCCTTCTGCCTTTCCTTCCTAAGGGAGCACAGAACTGAGCTGACGCTTCAGCTTTGTTCATCAATAGGCTTGAGCCATCCCTCTCGTTCCCTCGAGTGACACTATCGAGTTATCATTCCAGAACTGCCATGGATTGGTGATTCTGGGATCCTCCCCGACTTCACAGAATAGTTGCATGGAATAGCATTGCCTTATATCTATAAAACCTTTTATGACTTAGGAAGTACTTCTATACATGTTACCTCATTTAATGTTCATGGGAAACCTCTGAGGTCAGTATGATTAGCTTCATTTCATAGATTAGGGATGTGAAGATCTGAGAGCTTAGGAAACTTGCCTAAAATCACAAAGCTGGAAGATGATAGAGGCTGAAGATGATAGAAGCTGAACCCAGCCCTGAATTCTATCCTTTTTCAATTGTGTTACAGGGATGGGGGACAATTTCTTTCTCTTTCTCTCTGTTTTTTCTTCCATGTCTTATCTTGGTCACCTCCTGCACACACATTGCAGGAGGTGGGATGTGGTTTGAATTAATGTTATTCTATAATTTTAGAAACACTCTTCTATTTTGTAGTTCAGGAGCCTCTCCTGCTTATTGCTGGCTCTGAAAACATTTTGTTCAATGGCTTTCAGACTGGTCTTTTTGCAGCCTGAAAGTCTTCCTCAGAAAACCCTCCTTTCTAGGGTTGAGCATTGCTACTAGGCAAACAATTGGGGTAAGGGTGTTACGTGTGATTTTGGGGGACAGCATCTGGAATATCTCCAGAGTAACTTATCATAAGTACATATATTTCATCTTAACACTTCATTGAGAGGTGTGAAAACAGATTCTAGGAAAACATCTTTTATGTGTCTTAGATTTTTTTCTTTTTCTTTCCTTCTTCTTTTATTTTTAATATATATATATTTTCCTTAGAAAGACTTGACCAAAAGTGTTCCCCAAATCTTTTGTCTGGGAAACAGAAGGCATCATGTCTTTGGGGTATCTTTGAGGTCCTCAGAGTCTGAGGGCAGAGAAAAGCTACTGCAGACAGATTGGGTGGTGTTTAGCTGGTTCTCCAGAAAGGACGATGGTTTCCTGAGTCTAAAAGAGTTACCTTTCCCTTTGGGTTGCAGCACCATTCTTTTAGGGGCCAGAGGATGGGTCCTGGGGCAGTTCAGGATCCATGTTCTTAGGCATACCAGGGAATACACAGTGTTTTGTGTCCTGGGCCTTATAACTGCCTCTGATGTTGGTTCTTCTCTACATCCAGAGCTGAAGTTCTCTGACCATTGCTAGAGCACTTTGCCTGAGATTGTTCAGAGTATCTGTAGTAGGTAGACACAGGCGGAAAGTCAGATGGTCCTCTCCTTGTCATTGTTTTCCAATTGTGTCCATAGCCTGGCAGCCTCAGGCATTATCAGGGAGGCTGGTTGCTAGGTGGCCCCTGAGGCTCAGCCAGGACCACAGGAAGAGCCAAGCAGGGCTCTTAATGACCTCTAGGAACTATTCTCCCCTGACCAGCAGGTCTTTTGTGGCTCACCTGGGGGACTCCCCACAGAGCTCCTATTAGATGCACAACTTCCCTTGGCCTGTTGGTTACCTCTGAGCAATCTTGGCCCCTCAGATCCAGGATTTGGAGCAGAAAATATCCTTATGCAGCCAAAGGTCTAAGGATCTTCAATAGGGAAAAAGCCTTTACTGCCTCCCTTTGAGCTGTTCTCTTGCTCTCAATACCAAAGTTCCTACACTGAGGTCTGCAGACCCTCAAGTGTCCATAGATAAATCACATATTTTTTTTAAACTCTTTTTTCTTTTTCACTGACCTTGACTTAAAGTTCATCATCTTTATTTTTTAAACTCTAACTTAAATATAACATTTCCTTCAATTAAGAAATCAGCCCACAACAGGTATCAGCAGTACTTGTAACTTGGTCACCAGTAGAAACCATAGATTTCTTCAATCACATTACAGTTGTTGCAGATATCTTGAAATATCATTTATGCTCGTCACTGCTTTAAAATTACAATGATTATTATATCTGTCACTAGATGTGTTATGTAATACACTTTTTTTTTTTGTCTTTTTCCGTGTCCGGCAACGGATCGCAACCCTCAGTGTTGCCCCCATACCGGACCGGGGACCGGCAACGGGATCGCAACCCTC